GTGCCAAAAAACCACCTCAAATCCCAAATTCAGCGCCAGAGTCAAGAACCTCTCCAAATAAGCCCAACGGCTAGTTAAACAATCCCCATCATTTAGCTTGAATCTTGTCTTTGTTTTTAAAGCTAATTACCGTTTATTTACATTATTCTGAGCATTATATAAAGCTCAAGCATTGTATTATTCAGTTCACCAAGTTATAATCAAGAAAGTATTATTTTGTTTTTTTAAAAAAGGTTTTCTTTTGAATACATTTGTTCATGCGTTTTATTCAAGTTTTAGTGAGGAATTTAAAGAACTTCTTACGGCATATAGACTCTCCTAGTTCTTGCGTGGATTAGCCCTTAGAATTAGAAGAATCTAACATTTTGTGTTTGTGGTCATCAAGCACAACCAGCTTATCAACCATCAAGCCACTCCTCCATCAACTCTAGCTTCAAGCAACAGATTTCAAAGGAGTATTCTTGAATCCATTTTCAAGTCTACATCAGTTTACTCACATAATATTTACTTTCGTCACTATCATACGTTCAGTCTTTTAAAAAAAAAAAAAAAAAAAAACGTTCACAGTCTCTCATCGTAATTGCCTTCATCAGTTTTCTTTGCAATGGTAACAAGACAAACTTAAACAGTGTTAAAAAGTTTCAACTTAGTGTAACTTACCAATACATATATTTTGATATGTGACATGTTTATCTACAAACTCTCTCGTCAAGAACTCATAAAAAGAATTTGCATAGTAAATAATTAAAAAAGAGCTTTGCCAAAGAGAGACATGGTGTACAACTAGGTCATCCACTCCAAGCTTAGCTTAACTAAACTAAACCTGGTTCATCAACCACTACGAAACTAGAATACAAGAAATAAATATCCAGTCAGATATAAAGAATGTGTTTAAGAGCCCATGATCGTAAACACTTTGCCATACGCTTCACATCTTCCACATGGTCTATAAAAGTGTAAGCTAGAAAAGTGTAAGCTTCCAGTCCTTGGATTCCAACTCTAGTGATAGGGCTCGTCTCGGGATTGTAGTATCACATATATAGTTTAGTGACAACACAATCTCACCAGTATCAGTTCCAACAAAATATAACTCGATCTCCCAAAGTGTATCTCGGTATATATAGGTGGGAAAACGTAGGTATAACATGACCATTGGTGATTTCGGGCGTTATAAAACCCATAGTTGAAAACCGGTGTAAATCCTGTAATCATCAATGTTATACCTACTGTATATGTATAAAGATCACATCACATATATTAAAAAAATAAAGTAGCTGCATCGTAAAAGTTACATCAGTACTCAGTAGCCTAATGTTTCGTCACTTAACATTTACTTTCGTCCGTCACATACGTTTGTAGTCACTCATCATAATTGCCTTTAGTCTTCTTCTCATATATCTTTATGCACTCTCGTCAACTCTTTTTGTTTCTAACATTCACAGATTTACTGGCAAAAGTTTTGATTGAAAGCGAAAACCTTACTCAAGAAAATATTTTCTTTTTCATGACAAATATAAATATATAATTAGTCATGCACTGATTGTTCGAACCGGCCGCTTTACCTCGGCCTATGGTATTTGTACTTCGTTCATCAAGAAAGGAAGAGGAGAAATAGACTTCTTCCTCGGTTCGTCGACTCACTTAGCCTGCTTCTCCGACCAAACACAAGAGACTCATGTCACTCATCCACGCGTCCAAACACGGTTATGGTTCTCTCTTTTTTCGGATCCTCTGTTTCTATAAGACGATTAGATCCGATAATGAAGTTAATACTTAACGGACAAGAAACCCAATTTCAAAGTTCAAAAAAAAAAAAAAAAAAAACAATTTCCCGGTATTGAATCCCTCCGGTTTGTCCGTACGAGAGGATTAGATTGCTTTCCGAATTTCGGAGTTGTAACTTCTGTTGTAGACTTGTAGTTCATTTGTTCGTGTGTGTGAATGGAAGATTCTTGTTACATTTTGTTTTTGTAAAAATAAAATGAAAAAAAAGATGCTCGAAAATTGTGGACAGAATTAGTAGTTTATTAGCTTGGAGAATATTCGACTGACTTTTGAATAATATGATATGATGATCATTTCTATTGCTAATTTAACAGAATTAGTAAACAAAAACTAGATTTATCTTCTTTGTACAAACAAATTGACCAATGAAATCGCGACGCATGTCTTGTTCCCTCTCGCAAGCTCATGTTTCTCCGCAGGAAGCATTTGATCGAACTTCAAATCTCACTTAAATAATTACTAACTTTAATGGTCAACATTAAATTAATTAGTTATTTTCAACAATATAATTAAAATAATTATGAACAGAGCTTCATACTTACCTTTTCTCTCCACCAACCACGTGTGTATGTGGAATTGGCTGTACGTGTGACGTGTCCAAGAGAAGGTTGGCATTGGCAATACGATTGAAACTCTTGCCGTTTCAGAGAACGAGGTGACACGTGTTTTTGGGCTCACATAACTCTTTTTTTATAAAGTTATTTTTTTCTTTAATATATTTCCTGAAAAGGAAATGACTGCCAAAACCCAAAACAAAAGGAAAGGATTAGCTTTAGAAGTGTAGATTTCTTAACAAATAAAGTAAATTATTAGTAGCCGAGATCACAAAATATCTTAATGAGAGTCCACTATTGATTACTTTTAGTTTTGCCAAAACACCCTTGACCATCAATCTGCGTTACATGATTTAAGAAAAGTACTTTCTGTAGTTCCTTTTGATGGTTAAATAGCTTAGCTTGGACTAACTTACCGATGACCCATGATTAATTCACTAATGCATATTTCAATACGGCTCTACAAACTTTTCACCAAAAGTTGTTAATTGGTTTTATTAATCAAACCAGGAAAATGGAGTTTACAAATAAAAAAACCATAATAATAGAATTTAACACCATGTGCATATCAATATGTTTTTTCTTTCCTATATTCAAAATACAAAGAAAATGAGATAAACATTTTTTTTTAAAAAAACGGAAGTGGGTTTTCAAGTTTTCACGCCCAAAATATTGCTAAGAGAGTTGACCAGGCCGGCCAAACTAATGAATAATGTCATCAGTTTTACTAACTCCAATAATATCATATTTTCGAGTGTAACGAAACTTCTAACATGAACGAAGAACTTCTAATTTTGAGACTATTTCTAGCGCATGTGCTTATCCTTTGAATGTATGCTTCTGGTCTTCTAGAGTCAATATTCTTTTTGTGCTATGATTTATACTCTTATTTTCTTTTAGTGTCAAGCATATATATCTTTTTCAGGCAACTCGTGCCAAACTTATTTTTCTTTCTCTTTTTGGTAATTTTGATTTATTACCAATAAAGAAGTTTATCAAAAATATAATTTATATAATTTTTTTTTCAAAAAGCCATATATGAAATCTTTAAATAAGGATAGGCATTCGGGTATTTAAACTCGATTGGGCCAGTTTTTCAGATATCGAATTTTTTAGATATAATGGGTCAGGAACCGTTTAAATATTTTGTCTATCTTAATTTGGGTTTAGTTTAATTCTATTTGGACTTGGATCGATTTTGAATATTCGAATGATACAAAATTTATATGAAATATCTAAAAAGAAATTTAAAATATTTTAGATATTTTAGTTATTCAATTATATTTTGAAAATTAATTAATTTAAAAATATAACTGGATTTTAATAATTTAGATATATTCGATTTATAACTAAAATTTTGAGTATTTTAATTATTTTAAGTATAAATATAATTAATATTTTGGATATATAATTACATTTTTGAATTTGATTTTTCAGATATTAGAGTGTAGGAAAATATATCCAGACCTAATAAATTTGATTACATATACCAATAAATCTATTTACATAAAGCCATATATATATATAGTCTATACATCAAAATAAGGAGAAATTTGGCTAGACAAAAATAAAGTGCACATGTAGAAGTGACAAATGACAACCTCGTATGCACAAACGCGTGATATGATCATAAAAAGCAAATAATTCACATATGATATTGTTAAGGTTGTTCAAAATGTCTTCACATTCTAACAGATTTTCATCATCACCATCCTCATCCATTCAGCATCATTACCCATCTTCACATGGAAATCGTTTTTCTTTCCAAATTTTCACTGAACTTTAAAATAAAATTTGGATATTAATATTATAATCTCTTATAACGGTAGACATTGGAATGGGACCAAAGAAACAGTTCCTTTAATATTAAAAAAAATCAACTTTCCAAGGTTCATGCATGCACTCTTTTCATGTGATGTATAACAATTGCTAAACAAATAAAACAAATTTTATCTAACCATGGGAGTTTTTTCTTATAGTTATCCAAAATAACAACACCAATAATAGTGACCCGTACCGTAAAAATAGTTAAAGTCTTTTTTCTGTAAATAATATGGTAAATTATAAAAAAATGGTCACTCTTTATCCATTCAATAACCAAATTATCATATTCACAAAATAAATGAACCTTACTTAATTATTGGTACCAAGTTTATAATTCCAGACATCTACAATTGTTTCTAAATCAATAATCATACTATCATAGTATTACTGATATTCTCATAATTAGTTAAAGAATCGACAAAAACATCACGATTTAATGTGATAAGATTGTTCTTATCACATTAACCAAAAAGGGACAGGGAGCCACAGGTGAAGTGTTCCTGGTCAAATTGAAACTTGGAAATATTAAAGTTCTTGAAATAGAAAGGTTTATTTTTAATGAAAAAGATTTTTGAAAATTACACATCTTAAGTTGCCTAACAATGTACGCATCTTCTTCTTTCTCTATCTTACTAAGAAAGCTAATTACAGTATATATGTGTGTACACCATTTTCTGATTTATAATATGATTTGATGGTTGTACGAGATTTAAAATTTGAAACCCATATTCTATATACATAATACATCATTTAGAGCGAAATAAAGTTTTTTTTTTATCTTCTTCCTAGTAGGTGAAACTCTTGAATTTTAATACAACTAATTGTTTGAAAGAAGAACTTGATACAAAAAGAATTGACCAATTATTGGTCAATATTTATAAAAATAATATTTTCTTCTTATTTTCTCTATTGAAAAACTAGTATATAGAGAGGAGCTTCGTTGCTCAAGCCCTTTTCTCTTCTCTCTTAAAAACCCCAACTTTCATCTCTCTCTCTCTCCCTGCAAAAACCCTTTTCTTTATCTCTAAAAAGAAATTTCTTACAAAAAGAGAAAAAAACTTTGATTGTTTCAGAGAAATCTCATTAGGATAAAATGGATTATGATGCATCAAGAATCGGTGAAATAGTAGAAGATGAAGAGCAAATTGATCTCCCACCTGGATTCAGATTTCACCCTACTGATGAAGAGCTCATAACTCACTATCTCAAACCAAAGGTTTTTAACACTTGCTTCTCTGCTACTGCCATTGGTGAAGTCGATCTCAACAAGATCGAGCCTTGGGACTTACCAAGTAAGTTTCACAACGTTTCAAAATTCAGAAAATGTTCTTACTATAAGAAGTTTCTAAATATGAATATGATTAATTGAGCCTTTTAACAAAAACTAAAATATGAAGATGAATATGATTTAGGGCATCTTATTTTTACATCTCATACATGTTTAATAAAACTCTCAGCCTATAAATATAGTTTAAGATGGATGAAAAATCATAATTTTTACTCGATTTTTTTTTGTTTTCCCTATAATTAAGCTCACGGTTTGGGTGGAACAGGGATGGCTAAGATGGGGGAGAAAGAATGGTATTTCTTCTGTGTCAGAGACCGGAAATACCCAACCGGTTTAAGGACAAATCGGGCAACTGAAGCCGGTTATTGGAAAGCCACGGGTAAAGATAAAGAGATTTTCAAATGCAAATCACTTGTGGGTATGAAGAAAACTTTAGTTTTCTACAAAGGAAGAGCTCCTAAAGGAGTAAAAAGCAATTGGGTTATGCATGAATATCGATTAGACGGCAAATATTCGATCCAAAATCTTCCCCAAACAGCTAAGGTATGTAAAAATAGATTTTTGTGTGTTTTTTTTTCTCGTTTCTTGTTGACTTGAAACTGATTTTTTGCGTTTTGTGTTCTTCTTTGGTGAATGTAGAACGAGTGGGTTATATGTCGTGTTTTCCAGAAACGTGCTGATGGTACAAAGGTTGATATGTCCGGTTTAATGCTGACTGATTCACACATTAACCGAATCGAACCGACCGGTTTACCTTCGTTGATGGATTGTTCTCAACGAGACTCCTTCCCCGGTTCGTCGTCGTCGACTCACGTGACCTGCTTCTCCGACCAAGAAAACGAAGTCAAGAGACTCACTCACGATCCCAATGACGGTTCTGGTTCTCTGTTTTACTCTGATCCCCTGTTTTTGCAAGACAATTATTCGCTAATGAAGCTGTTGCTTAACGGTCAAGAAACTCAATTTCCCGGCACTGATCCCTCCGGTTTGGCCGGTACGGGAGAATTGGATTGCTTTTGGAATTTCTGAGTTGTAATTTCTGTGGTTAGACTTTGTAATTCATGTGTTCGTGTGTGTGAATGAAGATTCTTGTTACATTTTTTGTAAAAGAAAAAAAAAATGCTAGAAAGTCAATTTATTTTGCTATATATAGTATTAGTATTTTAATATATTTGAAAGACTTCTCAATTAAATAATATGATAATTTATTTTGCCATGTACAATGCTAGACCTATAAATAAGTTTTAATGTCAACATTATTATTATCTTGAAACTAGAGTAGTTAGAAACCAAATTTGTTTACTGTTCTTCACAATGACGAAATACATGTGTTAGGCCACCAACCAAAGAGTTAATATTATGACTTATGAGTATATTAAGAAAGTTTGAAAGATTTTATTAGTATTATATTGTTATGTCAAGCTTAACATGTTTAGGTGATCATCTTGTTTTCATACTACCTATTATTTTTTGCTTCTTCCGAATTTCTAAGTTGGACATTTTTCGTTAAGCAGAATAATAATCATCCGAAGACTATTACCCTAAAGATCGAGAACTAGTTTTTGAATAGAAAAAATAAGCTTACTTCAAAATGAACGTGTGTGATAAAGAACATGTGTGAGTTAGTTTTTCAACACTGCCTAAAATTACGTAAATAATATATAAAAACCACTAGACACGTTTAAATATCTGAAACTAACCGCAGCCTAACGGATTAAAAAATGCAGTAATGAATTTGAACGTGTATTAAATAAATAAAATAAATCGTAAGCTGAATAAACTTGCAAGAAAAGTGTTTTACATAATAACTAAATCATGGAACAGCGTATTCAATAAAATAAAATAAATCGTAAGCTGAATAAACTTGTAAGAAAAAGTGTGAATGGTCTACCCTTTTTTCTTATGAATAACTGAATAAATCGTAAGCTGAATAACTGAATAACGAAAAATGTGAATGGACTACTTTTTTTATGAGTAATTAAACCAATACGATTTAAAGCATCAAAATATACATTAAGCATAAGAGTTAAATCTTTCAAAATCAAGTTCACATTAGTCCACGGCTCCCTAAATTTATGGATACCGTCTTTGTAATTTGCCAAACAAACAACAAAGCAACATTGAAGTATTAAACCTGAAAATTAGTTAGTGTAAAAATAAAATTTAGTAGAAAAGCTTTAAAATTTCAATTTTAAGTGTGGAGAAAGGGAAAACGAGGTTAAAATTAAATGAAATTAAGTTTAAAAAGTTTTTGATAATCAAAGAAGTCATTTCGAATAATCAAAGATGACAAGGAGCAAACCCGAATTGTGAGGTTCTGGTGAAACGTAGAACAGACGAACAGCCACCTCAGATCACAGTCACGTTCGTTAATGGCGTCGAGGAAGCTTTCGATGCAGCAGCAACCTCTGCTCAGTCTATCAGAAAGATGATTCTTGATACAGGTCAGTATCTCGAGACAGAGCAAATGTTCCGTGAAGCTGGTGAGCAATGGCCTGTGATCATCACTGAAGAAGAGATTCACCAAGAAGCTCCTGGTGTTAAGGTTTGTGATTGCAATGTTTTCATTTTCCTCATTGAATCTGAAAAGGAGAAAACTTTGAACAATTTACATTTCCAAAACCTTAACTTTGATTCAGAGTATTTCACTTTTCCTCGGTTTTGTTGTTTTGCAGCCGAGAAAAGCAGAAGACAAGAAGTAATTAATGCTACTTGTTTCATTGGTATCTTTTGTTCTACTCTTTGTTCAATGGATACAAGTCTAGGTTTGTCTCAAGCTTAGGGTTTCAGGTTCGGACAGATAGATTTGTATTGTTTCCTTCTTTATGTGAACTGGTCTAAGTCATTGTGAAATAAGTTATTTATATAACTGAATAACAAGAAGTGTGAATACCTTTTTTTCTTATGAATAATGAAACCAATACGCTTTGAATCATCAAAATGTAGACATTAAACATAAAGAGTTAAATGTTTTAAAATCATGTTATGGTACAATATTATCATGCTCGTGTGTTGAAAATCAAGTTATTATTGGACATAAAAACACGCGAGTATCTAGTCCACGGTTCCCTAAAGTTATGGGACAAAGCTTTGTTGAGAAAGTTAATATCTCAAATGAGCTTTATTTACCGCAAAGAAAACTAAAAAAAAAAAAAATTCTGTTTAGGAACACCAAGCAATAATTATTTAGAGATTGATATGAAAGATGAAAGGGATGGTAGCTCAATCGGCAACATAAAACTAGATTTAGATTTACAAATGTTCAATATAATTATATTTATATGAGAACAACTTGCTAGAAAACATAATAGTTATGGGTTTAAATGGACTTCTCCAATGATAATTTTTTTTTTATTTTTATATATGCTCTAATACAAATAATATCAAAGTATTAAACCTACAGATCTGTTTGGAGGTAAAGCTAAAATTTAGTACAAAAGCTTTGAAATTTTGAACGCAGAGAAAAGAATAACACGGTTAAAGTTATATGACGTTAAGCTAAAAAAAAGATTAGAGATTAGATACTTGGTTCTAGTGAACTAGAATTTTGTGCAGAATTTGTGAACTTTTGAATGCATTTTGGTGTTGGTTTAGCTTAGGAATCACATATTTGGTCTCAGTGAATTAGGATTGTGGTTGCAGATGAATTTGTGAATATGAATGCATTAGTTTTAAAGGTTTTTATGATATGCAATTCACATATTTTTTTGTGTTCTAGCGAAATCTAAGTTCAAATCTCATACGGATAAGTGGTTTTTCTTTACTACTCTAAGGAAGACTAATAAATCAACTCAAAGTGCCACTTCTAAAGAGAAATGGTTGGTAAAAACGAATTTTAAGAAAATGATTACCAACAAAAACAATGATTATGTTAGATTAAAAAAGTTATTCAAACTTTCTGTTGAGATATGGACGAATACACTTTGCAAAATTTCTCGGAAAACAAAAGAAAATCAAAGAAACTAATCCACTTGATGTTGAACCTTAGATCCAACTTTGGATAATTCGTATTTATCATCTCATTTGAACTTTTTGTTTTCTCGTAGGAGCTAATAGAAAGGTAAGCATTTGTCTGTTGACCAGGCGATAAATCTGTTAAGGGTTGCGATTCTACCCGTCAGGCGCTGTACCTCTCTCATGTTTATTGGGGAAGGAAGTTCAAGGAATGCGGCGATTTTCTTGGGGTTAGCCTTGATTCCCCGTTTGGTGACGAGATAGCCCAGAAACTCTCCCGATTTGACGGCAAATGTACACTTAGCCGGGTTTAACTTCATGTCGTATTCGTTGAGGCTCTTGTGGTCGATATGATCGTCGGCGTTGGCTGACTTGACAAGCATATCATCGATATATATACTTCCATAGTGTCTTCTTGTTGCTCAGCGAACATTCGGTTGACGAGGCGTTGGTAGGTGGCGCCGGCGTTTTTTAAACCGAACGGCATGACCTTATAAGAATACGTCCCGCGCTCTGTGATGAAAGAAGTTTTCTCCCAGTCGTCAGGATGCATCATAATTTGGTTGTATCCGGAAAATGCGTCCATAAACGACAAGAGTTCATTCCGGCTGTTGCCTGTACGAGTCGGTCTATATGGGGAAGAGGGAAACTATCTTTGGGGCATGCTTTGTTGAGGTCGGTAAAGTCAACGCAGACCCTCCACTTTTCATTCTTATTTTTGATGACCACCGGGTTGGCCAGCTACTTTGGGTATCAGACTTCCATGATAGACCCTGCCTTAGACAATCGTTCTACTTCATCGTTAACTGCTTGTGCCCTTTCTGGACCGATCTTGCGCCGCTTTTGCTTGATCAGTTTGTATGTTGAATCGAATTGTAACTCATGCTGAATGAGAGATGGCGGAACTCCTTTCATATCTTCAGCGGTCCAGGCGAAAGTTGAGATATTTTGACGAAGAAATTCGATGAGCCGATCACGCAGATTGTCACTTATCTCCGTCCCAATGCCGACGCATCGCTCGGGATCTTGTGGGTTAATGTTAACCTGCATGACGTTTTCTCGTTGCTGATCGTCGGGAGGTGGGAGTTCGTTTCGGACGTTCGTCATGACGAGGCATGTTTGGGCTGCCTTTCTGATCTTATGCTCGGTGATAAAACACGTTCTTGTTAAACGTTGATTTCCACGAACCATGAAGACGCCGTCCGTCGTTGGGAACTTGAGGCATTGGTGATAAGTGGACGGTGCCGCCTTCATTTCATGTAACCAAGGTGTCCCCAGGATTACGTTGTAAATCGCCGGTTTGTCGATGACCACGAACTTAACTATCTTAGTGATTCTTTCGACGCATACTGGGAGCTTAACGGTTCTGATGGTCATAGTTTGATCCCTGCCAAATCCGGTTAATGGCCTTACGCAGGCCTTGAATTTATAGTTCTGCATCTCCATTCGCTGTAACGTTTCTTTAAACATCAGATCCACGGTGCTTCCGGTGTCGATCAGGACCCGTGATACTTCACAGTCTCCGATTCTGAGTTCGATGACTAAGGGATCGTTGTGTAGTGTGTGGAGTCTATCGGTATCAGTTTTGTCAAAGGAGTCGTCGGTGCCGATTTTGAGTTCGTCGTCGGGGTTGCGTCTCCAAAGCTGGACCACGGTAGATTTCCTCTTGTAGTCCTTGATTGATCGTACTGAATCCCTGGATGATGGGATCCCCCCATGATCATGTTAATTCTTTGCATCGGAGGACCCTGGCCATTTCCTTTTTCCTGGTCGTCTCGCCCGCGCTTCGGTGGCTCCATGTCTGAATCAATAGGGCCGGCCTGTTGACTTGTTGTCCCGCCGATCGGCTGTTGCTTGGCTTCCACCTGGGCGAGTCGGAAACATTCGCCCTCGTTTTTTGGCTGAGCAGTATTGTTTTGATCGGTGGGCTGTTGGGAAGTGACACTCCCAGATTCCTTGAGGTCTTTCTTAAATTGTGTTATCAGGGTGTCTTGTAATGCTCGGCATTCTTTGGTGGAATGTCCAATATCTTGTGGAAGTCGCAGTATGATTTAGGTCCTCCTGACGAATTGTTTTGGTCTTGGATGTACTTGTCTATCTGCCGGGACGTTGTGAGTTGGTTTGTGCGCCGGTGACAGCAAAAGTAGAAGCTCGGTTATTTTTATTGGGGTTGTAACTGCTGTCGTAATGTTGTCGTGGCTCATAGTACTCCTCTTTGGGTTTTTCCTTCGGGGTCGGTGCTTTTTGGGCATCATACTTCTTAGTCTTCTCGGCCCTTTCTTCTTCGATCTCGATGAAGATTGTCGCGCGATGGAGTGCATCATCGAGGGTGCTCGGTCTGTTCTTTTTTAATTCTTCGTAAAAGCTGGATTCAAACCAAAGTCTGTTTCGGAGCGCGGGGAGAGCTACGTTGTCGGACACAACCAGTCTGGAAACGATATTCTTAAATTTGCCTATGTACGACCGCAGCGATTCCTTTGAGCCTTGGCAAAGTGTGTAAAGGTCGGATTCGCGAGCTCCGTGTTCGATATACATCGAATAATATCGGATGAATGCCATCGATAAATATTTATAGATGTCTATTGAGTTGGCTTCCAGTCGGGAGAACCTACTTAGGGCGGCGCCGGTCAAGTTCTCGACAAACAGCTGGCAGTATCCTGCGTCGCGTTTGTGTGGTTGGAATTGGGCTCGCCCATGGCAACCGTGAAAGACTGTATGAATCCCGTGGGATCTGTTGTGCCATCGTATGGTGTTACCTTAACTTTTTCCGGGTGACGAGCTGGGAAGTTGTTTATATTTTTTGTGAACTGAGTGTTCTGGCCTTCCTTTAGCACACGGTCGAGTTCCGGGGCCGAGCTTGTTGCCTGATGAACCTGGGAGCTCATCTGTTGCAGTTGGACTTTTAGCGCTTCGAGTTCGCTGTCTAGTCGTTGATCTCGGCGATTGAGGTTGTTGATGGTGGCCTCCTGCGGACTGGGCTGCTCCAGGGTTCGGACGCTATTGTCTCTCGATTGTCTTTGGTTTGCTCGTTCATGACCGATTGTTGGGGGCCGGTCGGCCTGCTTGTTTGGATTAGCGTCCAAGCCTCCAAATAACGCTCGTTGTAAATGCGGAGCGAAGGCGGTTGCGGTCGGCATCTGCTCATTGCCTCGATTATGGAGCTTGTCAATCCTGTTGTGGCAAACATGTTGCGCTGTAGTCAGTTCGTCAAGTCTCTCATTCATTCCGCGTGTGCTCTCGGTCATTTGGGCGATGAGCATTTGGAGTAGGCTCGACACGTCAGACTGTCCCAAGAGATTTTCGAGGGATCGCCAGGCTTGGGGCGTTTGCTGCGGTGAGGGAAGGTCTCGTTGCAAGAATTGACCTCGTCGACCTTGTTAGAAAGACCGGTCCGGTAGGCGGAGTGTACGTGCGGTAGGCAGAAGCCATTGAGGTCGGCCTTATAAATGATTCCTCTAAAGACGCCATTGGATTGCGTTCCTCCAACACCAGAGGGGTCGGCATGGGGAGTGTTACGGAAGTCGTTATAAGTGGTGTGAATAAAGTCGGCAAGAGCGATGTCAAAAGGGTCGGCATGGATGAAACCATGGAAGTCGGCAAGAGTGATACCGATGAGGTCGGCGTGGGCGACATGGTGGAAGTAGTCGCGGGCAATGTGGAGGAGGTTGGCAGGCCGACTGCAGACGGAGTCCGGTCTGCCATCTTCGAGCTCGTTATCTCGAAATCGTGAATACCCTCTTTAGAGCGCCAACTGTTGAACCTTAGATCCAATTTTGGATAATTCGTATTTATTAATAACAAGAGTCGACAGAGTACATAACAAGACCGACAAAAGTACTCAAAAGAGGGTTCCCAAAAACTGAGATCCCGAATGAGAAACTCTAACACAAAAGCCGATCTCCAAAAAAGGAGAAGCTATTACAACGCGTGATTAAAGCTTAATTCCGTAAAATCCAGAGCAAATAATATGTTTTTCGTACTGGGTACGGTCCTATATATAGGGAATTAGGGCGGTGGCTTTGCTGGACTTCGGAAGCTTCCTGGCGAAATGGGCCTTGTTGGGCTTTATCTTTGAATCCGAGCCAAAAAAATCTTCTCTCTTTTCTTGGGTCGGGCGATCTAGGGCCGAGCTGATCCTGGGCTTGCTACTTGAATTTGGGCCGAAAGCTGCTTCTTCTTTCTAAGATCAGAAACTCGATTTGGGCCGTGCTGATTAACGGGCCTCTCCAAGACCCGGTACCAACACTTGAGCCACAACTATCATAACTCCTGACGAATCTGTGAACATCAAGACATCTCATCATCTTCCTTTGATGGCGATGCTGCCGCTGTGCTTCTCAATTTTCCACATTTCCTCGACCCATGAATGTTTCTATTTGAGAATAAACATCTTTTTATATTTTTACAACTTTGTAGTTTGTGTTCTAGAGTGAACTATCTCTATTATGTTTAGGAGTTTTGCTACCGCAAAATTAGTTGGTTTGTAAATAAAAAGTGAAATGACTTAAAAAAGAATTCAATTGGTTAGTTTGTAAATAAAAAGTCAAATGATTTAAAAAAAATTCAATATATTTTCAATTTTGATTTAAAATATTTCATTTAAATTATGACAAATTTAAAAGTTAAATGGGTTATGTTCTAAATTTTAAAATAGAGTAATAAACGGTGTCATGATGTGGTATATGTTCATTACATTAGATTGGAGATGGATTTTATTCTTTAGTTTGGAGTCCAAAAATAGAGTGGGTTGCAGATGTCTTAATAATCTCCGTCAGAAAACCGAACCACGTCAAACCGGATATATCGAACCGATCCGAAGAGAATAAAAGGGTAAGGGTACTATCGTCAATTTCTTCAGCTTCAGCTTCACCTGCATCTTCTTCCGCACTTTCCCTATAGTTATTCTCGCCGGACGATCCAAACCGGAGAAGCTTCCATCGACTGGTAATTCAGAAATTTCCTACTTCACTCTTAAAATTCGAAACCTTACTTTAGATAAAATGCGATTTCTGTTTCATTTTCTATGTAGTGGAATCTTGTTAGGTTATTTTTTTCTCGACGAATCATTTGGAATAATCCTCAGAATTCAGTAGAATCTGGAATTTTTGCTTCACGATGTGTGTGTTGTTGTTATCCGAATTTCAAAAATCTCAGTAGATTTGTAGTTTGTTTTTCTCTGATTTCATGGAATTTAATCACCCATTTCGTAGGAATTAGGAATTTTTCGAAGATTCTCTGATAATCTGTATTCTCCTTCCTCTTTGGTTAATGGCTGATTCAGGTTGAGGTTTGTTCAGAAGTTTTGAAAGCTAAGAAAAGAGGATGTTGAAGTTTCTATCAAAAGTAAAGATTGAGTACAACACATTGGATCCAAGGCTTGCGTCTTGCGTTGAGTTCTTAGCGCAATGCAATGCAAGAAAGGCCAAAGAATCGAACCCGAATTGTCAGGTTCTGGTGAAACGTAGAACAGACGAGCAGCCACCGCAGATCACAGTCACGTTCGTTAATGGCGTCGAGGAAGCTTTCGATGCAGCAGCAACCTCTGCTCAGTCTATCAGAAAGATGATTCTTGATAAAGGTCAGTATCTCGAGACAGAGCAAATGTTCCGTGAAGCTGGAGAGCAATGGCCTGTAGTCATCCCTGAAGAAGAGATTCACCAAGAAGCTCCTAGTGTTAAGGTTTGTGATTGCAATGCTTTCATTATTCCTCATTGAATCTGAAAAGGAGAAAACTTTGAACAAATTACATTTCAAAAACCTTAACTTCGATTCAGAGTATTTGACGTTTGCTCGGTTTTGTTGTTTTGCAGCCGAGAAAAGCAGAAGACAAGAAGTAATGCTGCTTGTTTCATTGAGAAAAGCAGAACACAAGTCTAGGTTTGTCTGAAGCTTAAGGTTTCAGGTTCCGACAGATAGATCTGTATTGTTTCCTTCTTTATGTGAACTGGATTAAGATATTGTATTGGAAGCTCTGGGAATAAAAACACTCTGGTTTGAGTTTTGGGCAACAATAGTATACATAACTTACACATTGAATCCACAAGCAAGCTCATAAACAGCAAATGAGTTTCTTCAATTGTATACTATACAGACAAAATCTCTATTGAGAAAACGTATAAATGTATAATATACCAAACAGGTCTTCACGCCCTCATTCATTTAACTCTCTTCTCTTTTGAGGAGCACCGGGATTACCCATCATGTCCATCATCATTTTCTCAGGTGAATCTTCCCAATTCGTAAACGTCTTCAAGTCGATCTGCAGATAAACAAATCAACATGTCAATTTTGGAAAAAACTTTGTGCATTTTGCTTAACACAGATCTTACCTTTCGACGTTGGTCATTGAAAAGCTCTTCTCTTTTCTTGTATGTTTCTTGAATCTCCTTGGCAGTTTTTCCACCTAATGCCCATGCTTCAATATCCAACACCGAAGCCTCTACTGGTAAATAACCCTGCAGCAACAATGCATAAACAAGAGATGCTATAAAGATTCAATAACATAACATTTTGAAATATATATATCGACTTGTTTGTTCATTTTGTGATTCGTTTTTTTTTTACCTGGTTTGGGAAAAGAGAGCCTGGCTGGTAAGTTTTATCAACAGCATGATGACGGATTGTGATCTTAGCAAAGTCTTCATCAATGAAAACTCTCTCGTTTCCTTGTGTTCCACCGAATCCAATCCCAACAGGTTTAGGGTTCGCGTCGTAGACTCTACCAGAAGGATGAAGATGGCTGTACGCAAAGTTTTTCTCCTTCCCTGAAGATGAACAAAAGAAAGATAAATGACTAGACTAATAATGCAAAACTGAATCCGCAGAAGGAAAAGTTTCCGAATTTGTGCAGTAGTACCTGAAGAAGAGAATGCGTGAAAGACCGGACTAATGGAGAACAAGCTCCCAGAGCTTCCGTAAAATGCATCTTTGTTCTCAAAACCTTGCTGCAATATTACACCAATGACCCACTTCCTCTCGCTTGAACTACCTTCATGATCGACTCCACAGCTTGCAGAAACCATCACTAGCATCGGAGCATGATACCCTTCAACGTTGGACCACAGTCTATTCATGCCTTTCCCGTGATAGTATGAGCTGAACAGAGACAGAGAAGACGAACATAACTTAAAATACACTATATAGAGACAGAACGTCCAAGAAACAAACAGATGAATTTGATACCGGTAAAGAAGATGTTCATTGGTCTCATCGCTATTGCAGGGAAAGCAAGAGCTCAAGATCTCCTCGTTTATTGTATTTTTGCTCGTCAAAGAGATCGCCCATGCCCTTCCACATGTTAGAAGCGTGTTCTCACATGTCTTGGACGCAGAATCATCTCCACCAGATGACTTTGACGGTCCAGATCCATCCTGCAAATGCATCAATCCAAAACTTCAAACACAAACAATGGTAACCTTCTCTGTTAAGCGCAAGGAAGCAAGTAGAGAGAGAGTACCTTTACATTTAAAGAATGTTGAAGCCTCGAGTTACAAAAGTGAGAAAGGCACTCAGTGATGTTTGGAATCGTTGACAAAGCCCAAGTAAGAAACTTTCCGATAGGAAGTTCGAGTTCTAATCCGAAAACATCACAGTCCCAAACATCTAAACTGGTTCCAGATTCAGTGCAAGACACAAGTGCTGATAGAACCAAGTGGCTAATATCCGGAAGAAACAGCTCTGCTGACTTTGTGCTTCGACCATCCCACGACATTGTCCAACACATCCATAGAAACATAAGCAACTCTACAGTCGAAATCGACCCGTTGATCTTACAATCAGCTTCATCAGATTCAAACTCAAGCTTTGAAGAAAGGCCTGCGTTTTTAGCTGTCAGATGAAACACTCTCAACAAAGTGTTGAAAGACATTGAAGCAGACATTCTTCCGCAGCATTTGACATATCCTCTAGCGAACTCGACCCAACTCAGTCCTTCTTTCTCAGGTACGAAGAACAAATCTACTAAAGATGATCCTAAATGCTCCAACAATTTGGGAAACGAATCTGGAACTTTCTGGTCTCCTTCAGTAGTAGTTGTATCGTAGCTCAAGCAGAAACTTTGCTACAATAAGAAACAAAAATCGCTGAGATTCATATCATAATATTGAAGCAAATCTGAAATTGACGATTTTTTTAGTACGATCAGTAAAACCCTAAGCTGAAAATTTACGATCCAATTTTGAGGTTTCGTGAGAGAAATTCTAAAAGTTGCTGAAATTGAAAAAACCATCAAATTCTAATCGAAATCGAATCTGTACCTTGAATGATTGAAAAGAAACTGTGCTGGTCTGAGAATCGGCGAGCTTGGAGAAAGATCGTTGAAGCAAAGGAAGAGCTCCGGTTGAAGCAGCAAGGCTTTCGATTTCTCGCTTCTCCGATAACTCTTTGTTGTCCGTCGAAGATGAAGCACCCATAGTGAGAAGATGATTCGGAGAAGACGAAAAAAAATCCGCAAGTGGAAAAACAACAGAGAGATTCAGAGCTCTGTTTCTGAGGGAATAATCACAGAAATGGTGTCCATGATTGCTTTATGATCTATAAAGATTTTGAACAGTTCTCTATATCTTTCACGATTCGCCACGTAATGGAACCGTGGATTGATCCGGTCCCGGTTTGAAGATAAATCCAAACCGGATTGATTAGAAAATAGATTTAAACCGAGCGAATACCAATCCACTGCATATTATTTGAGAAGTAACATTATTGAAAATAGCTGATTTATCAACACTACAGCCAAAGTTAGTGCTTTTAATTGATGACATATAAATATGACATGTCAAACTTTATAAAATAAATGAAATATTTTGATTGGTTGAGGTAAAATTAAAGAAATTATAAAATTAAAACAAAAATACATTATATATATTAGATTATATTTATAACACTAAAATTAACAAATTTAAATTAACAGAAAATAATAATTATTATAATTTCAATTTCTTACATATATTCATAATCTCATAAAATATAATTACAAATTTTTTCAACAATATATATATATATATATATTGCAATTTCATATAAAAGCAAAAAAATAATACTAAATATTCAATAGAATAGTATAAATTCTATATATTAATAATACTTGAAGTATGATGTATTTTTATTTTGTAAAGATATTAATTTACAAAATATAGTAATAACATCTAAACAAGTTTTAAATAAACAAATTACTAAATAATACAAAATACAATCATGATAAAAATAAGTTAAAGAATAAAATGGTAAAAATAAAAAAAATAATTAAATTTTATTGGAATTATTTTTAAAAACGTAATTTAAAATTAATTTCCTTTTCAAACCAATATTTACTAAATAAATAAAGTATATACTAATTATTATTTTATAATATTAATAGGACTATATATGTTTCTATAACTTTTATCATCTTTTTATTGTTATTTTCTAAAATGTACATAACTTATGTTACCATTTCATCTTATCATTTATCATATTTTAAATAAAAATAAAATTTTATATCATATTCACACAAATATATATAAATTTATTTTCATTGTATATCAAAAATCTGAAATCATAAATGAAATAAAAAATAATCGAACGAAAGAATAAATTAAAGTAAGATGAAACAAATATGAACAAGAAATAAAAAATAAAAGTATATAAAAATAAATTTCTCGCACTTTGTTTTACAAAGTCATTTAAAAACTTTTTAACACATAAGAGCCATATCTGGATTTTTTACAAATACGCATACAAACATAAATATTAATTAATAATTAGTTAAAGTCACTTAAAAAGTTTGCATGTATTTTGTTAAGCTTGATTACAGTCTAATTTTTATTTTAATTATTATAGAATTTATATTTTTTAATTTTTTATCTATTATAAGTGTAGTGACGTGGTTGTATGTCCGCACATGCGTGCCAACCATCTATTCGCTCTTAAGAATAAATAAAAATAGTGAAAATAGTAAAAACTATTTCAGCTTAATTTACAATAAAATCAAGAAAAAAATATATACTTAAAATATATTATATATGTATTTGCAAATTCATATTATGTAAGACACAAAAAACATATATACAAACATACAAATATTTGAAAAAACTAATTAATATTTAAATATTACAATTAAATATGTATATCAAAAATATTATACATGCACATATGTGCGGGCAACCACCTAGTACTTTTACTTAGACAGACTTCAGATATTTGATATCCCACGGATTGGCTTCCAACTCCAAGTTGAAAATATAAAAACTTTTAAAAGTTCTTAAAAATATAGCATTCCAAAGTTTGGCGTTGGCTGAAGAGGCTTTTTTATGCCAACGATCAAGAGTTCTGTGGCTAGTGTTGGAAGACTGTAATAGCAACTACTTCCACACAATGATGGATACTCGAGCCTTTTTGAACCATATTCACTATCTCATTGATGGTAGCAGCACCAGGACTGATACTCAGGCATCCATAAACACTGCATCAATTACTTTGCTAAGCTCCTTTGCAGCAATGTGGATCCCCCCATGTTTGAACAGAGCGACTTAAACATGCTGTTTCCTTTCAATTGCTCTAGCGCTCAGAAAGAGAATTTAACCAAAGAGTTCTCAGATGCAGACATCAAGGCGGCTTTCTACTCCTTGCCAAGAAACAAAACTAGTGGCCCTGACGGCTATTCAGCTGAGTTCTTCACGGGTTGCTGGGATATTATGGGTCCGGAAGTGGCAGAAGCAGTGCGTGAATTCTTTGAGTCGGGTCAAATCTTAAGGCGGTGGAATGCCACTAATCTAGTGCTTATACCTAAGATCCCCAATGCTGCGAGCACGTCTGATTATAGGCCTATCTCTTGCCTTAACACGGTCTACAAAGTAATAGCGAAGCTCTTGGCAGATAGGTTGAAGGTCATTCTCTCTAAAGTTATCTCCAACTCCCAATCAGCTTTTATGCCAGGCCGCTTACTTGCTGAGAATGTCCTCCTAGCCACTGACTTAGTCAAGGGATACAATGGAAGATGCTCGGAAACAAGAGGAATGTTGAAAGTGGATCTGAGGAAAGCTTTTGATTTGGTGAGGTGGGACTTCATCCTTGCTTCTCTAAAAGTACTGGACATCCCTGAGAAATTCATCAATTGGATATCTCTATGCATCTCCACGCCCACATTCTCTATAGCTGTCAATGGCCACACAGGAGGTTTCTTTAAAAGCACAAATGGTATTAGGCAAGGAGACCCGCTGTCTCCCTACCTGTTTGTCCTAGCAATGGAGGTGTTCTCCCAGCTCCTTAGCTCCCGCTATGCAGCAGGAAATATAGTGTACCATCCAAACGCCTCTGAGCTTCAGATTTCGCATCTCATGTTTGCCGATGACGTCATGGTCTTCTTTGACGGCAGTAGTTATTCTCTGCATGGTATAAACAAGTGCTTGGATGACTTCGCGAGCTGGTCTGGACTTCAAATGAATAGGGACAAAACAGAGCTTTTCTACGCAGGTCTGAACCCAAGTGAATCCACGGCAATTGCTAGCTATGGATTCTCCGTTGGTTCTCTCCCAATCAGGTACCTTGGTCTTCCCCTCATGTCGCGAAAACTGAGAATTTCAGAATACGCCCCCTTGCTAAATAAGTTGGAAGTCAGATTCAGAACGTGGACGGTAAAGACTTTATCTTTCGCTGGCAGAGTGCAGCTTTTAAAGTCGGTAATAGCTGGAATGGTGAACTTCTGGATCTCGACATTTATGCTCCCTAAAAGCTGTATTAAGAAGATAGAATCTATGTGTTCTCGCTTCCTGTGGTCTGGAAGCATAGACAACCCTTATGGAGCAATGGTTTCCTGGGCAACCGTCTGTTTACCGCATGCAGAGGGAGGCCTTGGTCTACGAAGGTTCACAGTTTGGAATAAAGTTATGTGCCTACGGTTTGTCTGGTTACTGTTTTCCGATAGTAACTCGCTCTGGGTAAATTGGCAGAAAAACCGCCACCTGAGGAACAAAAGTTTCTGGGCTCTTAAAACTGTCTTCCCAAAACTCTTGGACTTGGAATGAGCTGCTAAAGCTGAGGCCCGAGGGTATCAGATTCATTAAAGCAAGACTAGGAAATGGGCAGAAAATAAGGTTTTGGTGTGATGTATGGACTCCATTCGGGATGCTGATCTCATTCATCGGACCTGCGGGTCCTAGGGACTTGAGAATCCCTATTGATGCCACGGTGTCTGAGGCTTGCAATGACACTGGTTGGAGACTAGCGGACCCAATATCAGATGAGGCCGTTACTCTATTTGCTCACTTAACGACGGTCGCTCACCCAGGTTCAAGTGAGTCTAATGATGCGTTTGAATGGTCCACTGACGGGGCTGGAATTCAGGACTTCTCGTCAGCCAAAACTTGGGAAGCTATGAGACCGAGAGCAGAGGTGAAGAGCTGGACTAATCTGATTTGGTTTAAGGGGGCCATACCAAAACACTCCTTCACGATGTGGATTGCGAACATGAACAGGTTACCTACAAGATTTTGCTTAGCGTCATGGGGTCTTCAAATCCCAACAGAGTGTTGTCTCTGCTCAAGGCTAGCGGAATCCAGAGACCATCTATTCCTCACCTGCAAGTACAGTCTTGAAGTCTGGAGACTGGTAATTACAAGGCTTGACCCTCCGCTGAACTTGTTTAGTTCGTGGTCTGAGCTTCTATCCTTGATTAGAGAGACATCCGATTCTGCTCCGAAGCTGCTACGGCAACTGGTGGTCCAAGCAACAATCTTTCATATTTGGAAGCAGAGGAACAACTTTCTTCATAACCAAATCTCCCTCCCACCTTTGATCATTTTTTTAAAGCCCTGGATAGAGAGATTCGGAACTCAATCATGGCAAGGAGGCATAGAAGATCTTTTAGAGACTTTATGTCTCTTTGGTTTGCATAATCCCACCTCGTTTAAATTGGTACTACCTTGTTTTTTATTTTCTTTTTTGCCAAGCTGTACAGACCTTAGATTTGCTTGTTGTAAGATCTAACTTTCATTTAATGATATTTACTTTCTTAGCAAAAAAAAAATATAGCAAAACCCAAGCATAGAGGTGAAGATGCAAATTCTATAAGCTGACTAATGTAGGTTTTACTGAATTTAACGAATCCAAATAAACTATATAGGTTTCATATATTTCTACGATCAATGGATCATTAGTTACGTTCTTTAAACGTCGATCTGGTCCATCATTAACCATTATAAAACAACGATTGTACTTGTAATTTGTAAAGGATATACAAATACATAGTACGTACTATGCGAGACTGAACTCAAAGAGATAAATCTCAAGCTTAGTTAACTTATCAGTTCATATTGTATTGCATGGAGATTTGAAGTTCTAGTCTTTGTTGACATCATGCTGCATGTGCCTTTTGCTCTTGACGTTGGGATATTTATTGGTTGCGTGGGCTAGATAATAACATTACTATATAAGGGCTATTGATCATATGAAAACAATTATATATATATATATATATGTCGCTGTTGGTCATCAATCTGTTGTGTAGTGACATATTTTTGTTATTTTTGTCCCTAATTTTGTTTGACAACTGTTTTATGTCGGCTAAAATTTATAATTAAAGTATGTTTATAACAAATTATCGGAAAGGTTACAAATTATAGTTCTGACAAAACCACGATAACTAGTGATGAATCGTCATGTTACATTTTCACCATTAGTTGAACTGCTCACTGGCTTTCATTTTCATTATATTGCGAATGCCTTGGAATGACGACTGGTGCATGTTTTTATATTTCTATCCACCGAGATTTTTTTTTTGGTCAAGTACCACGAGTTTGTTACATATGATTTTTTTTTTCGCTTTTTTTTTGTATGAGTAACAAAATTATTTATAGATTGTGTGCGTACTGCTAGACTCTAACATGTGCGTTGAACCGCTCACCACCGTTCTTTTGTGATCTAGCTTTGTGCACTTGATGATAATTAACTTCCTTTTTTTATGAGTAAGATAATTATGCTGTCATTAAAATGAAATTGTAACATGATAGAATCCGTACGTAGATTTGAACTGCTCTATTCAACATAGGCGGGTTTAAAAATAATTTTGTGAATACACTATTATCACCAATATTCAATCAACCAATCCAAGTCGGTGCATTATTCTAAAGATGAAAATTATCCTCAAGCATGTCTACTGTCTAGTACAAGTTTTCTTATAATAAAGAAGTAGAGTTAAATCAAAAATTAATAGCTACATAGGGAATAATATTCTACGATCAACATTTCAATATATATATATATATATATATATCATTACACAGAAACAAACAACAACAAAAGAAACAGACAAACCCAACATGCTCTCTTCAGTCGTCAACGCGCGGAGCCAGCCAACAAAACGCGTTTTTCACAGTTTTGAATTGCTTACAACGTCGTCGTTTTATCACAATACACCGTAGCCGATTTCGTTGACGTCAACGTCATTCTTTGACTTTTCTCAATCCATCTATAAAAGATACTCACATTCTCGTTATCACTTCCCATGCATCTAAACAAACTTAATATACGCTTCAGATATCTTGTCTAAATATAAACAACAAAAGGTAATTAAAAATGGGTTTGATCCGATCATCATGCTTGTTCATAGTCTTCTTTAGCTGTCTCTCTGCGGTTTATGGCCAAGGTACAAGGATCGGGTTCTACTCGACCACATGCCCTAATGCCGAGACGATTGTTAGGACCACCGTGACATCTCATTTCGGTTCAGATCCAACGGTTGCACCAGGGTTACTGAGAATGCACTTCCACGATTGCTTCGTCCAGGGTTGCGATGGTTCGGTGCTTATATCAGGACCTAACACCGAAAGAACCGCCGGTGCAAACTTTAACCTCCGTGGCTTTGAAGTCATTGACGATGCCAAGGCGCAGCTCGAGGCGGCGTGTCCTGGTGTTGTCTCTTGTGCCGATATTTTAACCTTAGCGGCTCGTGATTCTATCAACCTCGTAAGTATATATATACCAAAACAAATACCATACAAAAACAGAATTATGTCTCAATTTGTTTGAAATGCCAACTTTTGAATTTTGCGGTTTAAGATTTAAGATTTGTTTTCTTATAAAACAATTTTGTGTGTGGGTATTTCGTCCGTTTGCGATTGGCCTTCACGTGTTTAATGAAAATTTGAGTTTGTGTTAAAAAAAAACCAAAACTTGTTGGTTTCATTGGAAGAAAAATACATATAAACTGCATGTGAAACAAGTGGCGTTTGGAAATTGATATGTGACCTATAAAGATTAAAGCAACATATATCCATTAAATAACTGATCAACGTTTACGTGGCTTTAATTTGCATGGGTGCATGTAGACGAAAGGAGAAAGCTGGCAAGTCCCAACAGGACGTAGAGATGGACGAGTTTCTTTGGCAACAAACGTTAACAATCTCCCCTCTCCAAGTGACCCCGTCGCCGTTCAACAAAGGAAATTCGCCGCTTTCCGTCTCAACACTCGCGATCTCGTCGGTCTCGTCGGTCAGTAATTTTACAAAATTGAAGATTATAGATTTCACATATATCACTGTTTAGGAATTATAATAGATCCAATCGATTTGTTTACATGGAAACACCAAGTGTTTTACGTGTCTCGGTGTTTCACTCGTCCGTGGATTAGGGTCATAATCTTAAAACTAAATCGATCATATAATTTAACTTTTTTAACAAAAAAATCGATAAGATTTAATAGACCTAAATTAAAATCGGTTAATTAAAATTTGATTATGATATGTTTCAAATGTTGGGGTTTATAATGTCTTACTATTAGTTTGCGATCCATCTTACTTATAACATTTGGATTAGAGTTTTAACATTTTATAGTTATAACTTTAGATAAACTGAATATGGATATATGATTTTAACAGGAGGACACACGATTGGAACAGCTGCGTGTGGGTTCTTTACGAACAGAATATTCAATACAACCGGAAACACAGCAGATCCAACAATGGACCAAACATTCGTACCACAACTTCAAAGACTTTGTCCCCAAAACGGCGACGCATCAAGGCGTGTGGATCTTGATGCCGGAAGTGGCAATACTTTTGACACATCCTTCTTCAACAATCTCAGTCGTGGCAGAGGAATTCTTCAATCCGATCACGTTCTTTGGACCAATCCGACGACTAGATCGATTGTGCAAGAGTTCATGTCTTCTAGAGGCAACTTCAATGCTCAGTTTGCGAGGTCGATGGTTAAGATGGGTAATATCGGTGTTAAGACTGGAGCAAACGGGGAAATTCGTAGGGTTTGTTCGGCTGTTAATTGAACTGATTGATTAAATTTTATGGCTAACATATTTCGTGTGTTTGATTTGTTTAGTGTGATTTTAATTTCAGTATTGTTGTCAAATAATATAAAAGAGCCCAAAAGTGGGTTGCTGGGAAATTGTACCGAGCTAAGGTATTCGATTCCTTTGGTTTAATGTGGTCCAATTAATGAAATGTAATTTAAAAAAAAAAACTCAAAATAGACGTTTCTATTATGAGTCCTAAATAACTATTTAAGTTTAATTACTCCATTTTTTGTCTATATCATTCTTTAGAAACATATTTCATCGGCATCAAATAGATGGTGAACATAATGTTTTTCCTTACCACCATTGCAAATGCAACACTCACTAAGTATCCGAGGGACAATTCTAATATAAGCAAGTATAGAGATTTGATATGATGACATCTCACGGCTCTTCAACAATTTCTAGCCTTCCAAATTCAAAAATAGAGCACATTAGAGAAAATAGCAAAACCCAAGCATATAAAAAGAAAAAGGATTCAATAAAATGCTAGTTAGGTGAAGATGCAAATTCTATAAGCTGAAAGCTGAAAGAGAGCCTGAAAGAATCAGATTCAAATAACTGAATTTAACGAATCCAAATAAACTTTAGATTTCATATAATTTAATGGATCATTAATTATTTCAACGACTACAATTGTAATTTGTAAAGGATATACTTATAATACTATGCGATCGAGATTGAACTCAAAGAGATAAATCACAGGCTTAGTTAGCTTATTTATTTTTGCTAAGAACTGTTCTAGGATGTCAATCGAACTGGATAAAATAATGCATTAGGGATGATTCTTCTGTTTACTATTGATGCTCAACCCAACCCAAAATCCATAAAACTCATATACAGTAATTTGTTTATAAATTAATAATTTTATCCGGTTTTAAAGTGGACCGGTATAAAACACAACACAAATTGATAAGATTATAAAATAATATTTTTTTAAAACGAATATAAAATATAGTTTCATTAATATCATAAATGAACAAATATTATATAAAATTTAATGCAAATATGTAACTATGATAATTTACTAAAACATAAGTTTAATATTATTTGTTTTTTCTTCAAACTGAATTTTTTTATACAACTTATCTCTAGCTTTAACATAAAGTTGTGAAAAAATATTACAAACCCTTTAGAAAATAATATTTTTAATTAATTATTAGTAAATAATTTATTTTATTCGAAATTGATAATTTAATAATTCTATAAGTTAATAAAATTCAACATTATTAATTTATAAAATTTCTACTGTATATCCAATTTATATGGTATTCAAATTTTTTATCAATTATGATTCGTTCGGTATTCCAAATTTTTATCATTCAAGTTTTGTTTGCTGAATATTGTATACTTCTAAAGTGTTTCAAGTATTCAATAATTAGACAATTATTAAATAATTACATGCAATATTTGCAAGGCAGGATTACATAAAAATAAAATACTAGATTCTAATAATGAGTTCAATGAGAAAGAGGATCAATAAAAAATATGTAAAATAGCTTATGAGACGGGTCTTTAGAAGCATAAATTCTCTAGAAAGCAAATAAATCATACATAAAAGATACATAGGGAGAAAAAGAGAAAATTTGTTTGCTTGAAAATAGTTAATAGGAGAAAAAGTTAACATAATCGAAGAACTCGAATTACATACATAAGTTTTTATGTTTTAAATTTTTATGATTTTATGAGGAGAAAATTAAAATAAACAACTCTTACATTTCGATTTTATGTTTTAAGTATATATATTTTTTTATCAATTATTTGATTTTGTTTTCTATGTTTTTCAAATTATTTTATTAAATTTAAAATATTGTTATTATAAACCCACAATGCGGATTCTAATCTAATAGGATTTATATTCTAAAATCTAGCACGATTATAATAAGGATTTAAAACTTTTTTGAACTTTCTAAAATACTAAATTAAATTAAACAATATACATAAAACAAAAAAGTAATTAAAAATACATAACCACAAGTTTGTTATATATTACTCTTTGTCTTTTTGTATGAGTAACAAAATTATTTGTAAATTATGTGGGTGAGGGCCAATTAACGCCAAAAACCGAAGCATAACCCGATTCGGTCTTGAGTGGGTTTGGATTTTGATAAATAAGCTCAAAAACAAATTGGATCTTTCGGACAAAACCTACTTATGTTCATAGATTTTTGGGTTTAATCCTGATTGGATCCGAGTTTACCCAAAAAGCCTTCCAATTCATATCATTTAATGATTTTTATTAAAGATTAATTTTGTCTAAAAAAATAATTGAAAATAGTTTTTATTAATCAAAATAATATTTTTCTTTTTGTTTTATGTCTCTGTATAAATCTCATGATAAATTAAATTTTCATCTCAAATCTATAGTTTCTGCTATTTAGATTTAAAGTGTTTTTAAAATTTATTGATATTTCATACAAAAAATAAGTCAAAATTTTAACTTGAATTGGATATAGTATAACTTATTTGGAAGCAAATTTCACGATGTTTACGTAGGATGTGTAATCGTTCAGGTAACAGACCTGGGTGACCAAGTTTTATCCTCGGGGGGATAAGCGGTGTGTGGCTCTAGAGCGAAATTTCCATGAGATTGTATTCATTGGCAAACGAGTTAGTCGTGGATTTCCTTCCCGAAGGTTCTCTGACATTCAAGTTAGATTACGCCCTAATAAAAATAGATATTCGAGAGAGTGGATTTAGTGATGGTAGTAAAGGTTTGGATACCCTATCCGAGGATCGTAGTATCCGTCTGATATTTAGTGAGGGTGGAAGTGAGTGGATGAACCATGGTGAGAGTGGAGTAGGAATTCTCTTGGCATGGGTGTTAAAGCATAGAAATAAAGGGAAGTGGATGACTTATCATGTTCGGCGATCCATCCGGGGATGGCAAGCATGCTACCGTTTTTCTTGCTGCATGGTTGGGGATGTGTCGGACTCGGATGCGCCTGAGGTCAGTCTTCCCTCCTCCTCCTTTGCCCATTTTTGGCCCTGGGCATAAAACCTGGATGCAAAAACGCAAACCGGAATTAACCTAAAATAACCGGTTTAGATTGGGTTCAGTGATTACTTATTTATCTGATAGGTATTTATATCGAGAACCGTGGGTACCGGTTCGGTTTTGGTTCCTATCCAATACCCAATCAGTTACCTGCTATACCAGATCCAACTATACACTTATGTAAATAGGGTTAGGTGATGGGATTCGAAACACAACTTCCTTTTGTTGTTGATCTGTTCAAGAACAAACGGCGAAGAGCTGTCATAGTCAAATGATGTGAAAGTTAAGATCTGCGATCAGTTTGTCTGAGAACGGCCTGGCTGCATTTATTATTCTCAGACGATGATGGTACGGACTCGACGGTGTCTTCTCCCATGTCATCTCAGAGGGCAGAGTTTGAAAATTAGGAATTTGAGGAAGATGAAAGAAGAAGATAGTTGTGTAGATTCGACGATAGAGATCTAGGTTTCAAAAAAAATATATTGTGAAGGAGAAGAGGAGAAAAAACAAGAAGTGGAGAGAAGAAAACATTGAAGGTGTTATCGAGATCTTAGTGATAAAGGTAAGGAAAATCGCAGATCTAAGATTTATTAAGATATATTTTTTTAATGAATTACTCTCAAATTCAACGAAACCTAATTTTTAAATGTAATTAATTAGATTTGATATTTCGGTTAAGAATCAAATCTATCTGGAACCGATATGTACCAAACAAACCCGATTAAAAATGATTTTGGTATCTATGTGGGTAAAAAATTTTCATACCTGAAAGATTTGGAACCGAACCAAATATCTGAATGCCCAGGTCTACCCATATTTTGTGTCCTTTTCCTCTCTCTCTCTCTCTAGAAGTCATGTCCGATCTTGGGGACCCGGCTCCTCTCTCCTTTGGCCTTCATTCTTCTCTTATACACCTTCTTCTTCGAGCAGTCCCATTCACGCGGCACGCGGCAGAACATGTGGGCTGGTTCAGCATGCTTTTGACTTGGAAAGGTCACCAACTGCCTGGGAACAGTCGACTTAGGTGGGGGGGGGGGGGGGGGGGGGGGGGTGGTTTGCCCTTGACCCTGCCGCGCATTCCAGAAGAGTGCGGGTTTGTCCTGAGGCGAAAATGAGGTTTCCGGAGAAACGATTGAAATTACTTATCCGACCTTGCCATACATCCCAGAAGAGTTCAGATCTAGTAAGGGCAAAGCTGAGTTTATGGGGAAACAGGTGAATTTCCAGAGAAATGGTTAGGTCCCTTCAAGGACAGTTAGATTGGATCGTACCCGAGCTCACATGCGTATCTTGTAAGAGTATACACTTGCCCAGAATAGGAGGACGTTAGTGTTCGTGGAAGAAATGTTGATTTCCCACAAATGAGCATCTTCCTGGAGGAAGTTTACTCTTTGCTTCGAGAGGCTCTAGGCAAGGAGCTGACTTCCTTCCCCATTTGGACTATGAGAAAGTTATAGCCCTATGTGACCATGTAGGTCGACATAAGGAAATGATGCAGTTAAGACACCCGCCCAAGAACCACGAATGGCGCCTTGAGGTGATGAATAGATGATCCCCATGCCCGGGTTGCTAACACAAGAGGGGAGCCGTTGCTTTTTTGCAGCTTATGATAAAACAGGCGTTTCCCAGAGGTGTTAACCGATATACTGCTTTTTAAGGCTTTCTAACCAAAAGTTTTCAATATTTTTTCGGCTTAAAGTGTGTTTTTAGAATCTTTTAGTCCTTTTATCGAGTCTTTTGATGATTTAGGTTGCCTTGGGAGAAAAGGAATCACAGAGATCACAAACAAGCATATGGAGATGCAGAACTATGCATATATGCATAAAGTTTGGCAATCTTTGAGGCACTTCCCACCGATGGATCGTGCTTAGTTTGGGGTACACGCTAAATCGTTGAGTTAGCTTTTATCTGGAAGTGGTTTGAAGTCGATCCAATGGTGCGATCTAAAGTTATGATAATTTTTTTTTGTAAAGACATGTTAGTCTGGTAGGAAATTCTACCCGAAAACACCAAAGCGCGGGATGCCAGAACTGCAAATCGACCACTCCAATGCCTGCGAGAATTTTTGTGAAGACTGACATAAAACTCTACCCGAGAGCACCAAAGCGAGGGATGGCAGAATTGCTAATCGACCACTCTAGTGCCTGCGAGAATTATCAGCAATTTTCTTTATTTTAACCTAAAACGACATGACACCTATATG